GACCATTAACCCTGAAATGCAAAGTTCTATTATGCATATGTGAAAGTATGGACTCATACAGGAGGTCAAAAAACTCAATATACAAATGGAGACCGTTCAAACTTTTGGCTTGGCATTCCATTTGCTGACTCAGAAGACTTTATGGGTGGTATTTCAACTGTTGGTACAGTTCAAATACAATATACTGGTGACAGAGACGGTCCAGATGAATTGAGAGCAAAGAAGTTTACAAAACCAATAGCACTTTTCACGGAAGATGCTCTTTTGAAGATTCGTTCGATGAAACCTGCTGGGGCTCCTCAGATTGGCATAACGACAGCTTCCATCGAGCAGATTTTGGCAGCAGGTCAGTAAGTTGTTCTTGAACTGACTTCTCTCCGTCAAATATTGACAGTACGCCAGTTTTGACATAATATTGTAAGATAAACTTACCTTTAGAAATATCTGTAAGTTTTGTTGTTATATTTTTGTCAACGTCAAGAACTTTCACCATTTCAGTTATACCAACTTTCTTTGCTTTATGGAAATATTTTGGTTCAGCAAATATTGCTATTCTATAACATTTACCATTGTTTGTATAAAGAACTATTCTGTCAATGTATTTGTATTGTTTGTGTGTGTAAACTTTGTTCTGCTTCAATTCGAAGAGATACTCGAATACGTCCATCTTTTTATTCTAAGTAAAATGTCATTTCCGAAAAATAGAAGCGTGAGTGTTTCAAAAGGTTTAATGGCGGTGGCAGATGTGAAGTTAAATTCACCAACTCAAACAAACAGTCAAAGTGTTGTTGTCAATGTCAAAGACAGAGATGTTGAAGTGGGGAAACCATACGAAGACGAAGATGGTATAACAATTGTTCCTGTAAAAGAACAACCAACATATCCTGAAGTTAGCAGAGACTTAAGTTCTGTTGCAGATATTCGAAATGACTACCAACAACTTAAAGACAAACTTCAAACTCAGGAGAAGATTTGTCAAGCTTTAAGTATAATGTTAAACTTGGTCGAACACAACCCTGTAAAAGTGAACTCATATGTCATTGCACCTCATGAAGTTTTGAAAGAACTATTGAAACTTTTGACAGAGGCAGACGATATAAACATCAAAGAAATAGAACCCGACATTAGTTGCTGTGGTGTTTCATATAATGTCATTGACAAGATATACGTTATGAAAGGAGGTGAAACGTTGAACTTAAAGTATAGTTTCCCAGACGTCATAAAAATATTTGACGACCACAACATTTCATTAAAATTTATTTGCTAAGTAAAAATGTCAAAACTTCTTGAAAGATGTTTGAAGAAAAATAATATAGACTTTATTTCATGTAAAGGACTTTACACACTTTTGAACGATATGAAAGACCCTGTTTTGTTTGTTCGTGTAGACAAAGGAAAGTTCTATGTCTTTACAAAATATTTGAACTTCTTAGACAGAGAACTTCAAGAAACGCCATGTGAAAGTTTAGATGAAGTTCTTCTCCACTTTCAGAAAAACTTTTAAATATATATAAATGGCAGAAGATATAATGGTTTATACTATTACGACTAAAAACCCTGAGTCATATAATTCTATAACAACAAACTTACAAAGTCCTCAAGGACGATATTGTAAACTAACCTTAAACACAATGACGACTAAAGCCCTTTTGCTCTTTTGACACCAGAAGACTTTATTGTTGTGAATGGTAAAAAATACTCCTTTGAAGATACTTACTCAGATATACCACCAACAGGTTTTGTTGACTTATTTAATACTTTAAGTACGGGTGTAACATGTGCTGCAACTAGAGCAGGTTTCATTATGTTTGGATGTCCGACTGAGTTTACTATAAACGATATGAGCTATAATACAAAACTTATTTCTGGTTTTTACTACCAACAGTTTCCTATAACAGGAAAAGGTGTCATACAAGGAATGTCTATTCCATTGACATTAAGCACACCAATCTTATATATTGTTTCAAACTTAGGTTCAAAGTGTTATTCGAATGTCGACAGAAACTACTATGACCAAAAGATACTTATGCGTATAAACAATACTTTCTCTGCTGGTTTGCCTATTGTTCATTCGAATGCAGAATTTTCAACCTTAGTGAACTCAAACACTTTGGCAAGTATAACGTTGACATTAGTTGACGCAAACTTTGTTCCTGTAAAACTTTTATGTCCTATGTATTTGTCAATGACGGCAGAAAGTTTCGAATTGGAAGATGCAACTGGTGAAAGTATTGTATTACAAGAACAACTTCAACAACAAATAGCTCAAGAACAACAAATGCAACAAATGGAACAAATGCAACAACAAAGTCAAGAATAAAAAAAATATTTTTTTTATTTTTATAAAAATGTACAGAATAGATGTTTCAGATTTTTATGACTTCCAAGCATTCAGAAATATGTGTCCATTTAGAGACTATAACAAAGCAGTCGAGAATTTGAAACGTTTAGTCATTTATGTCGACTCTGCCCCAGAATGTTATGTTATGAAAGAATGGGATGTTGTCTTTAACAAACCAAGAGCAACAATAGTTTCAGAACAAGAATGTAGACAAAAACTTAAGAAAATAAAAGTCGTACAAGTTGGAATGAAGATGTTAGATGCTTGGGATATCTTATTGTCAAAACTTGAAGATTTTTCAGTTCGTGGTATAAAGTTCTATACACCTTCTCCAAACTTCTATTCTATCTTCACTGGATATAAATACGAACAAGTAGAATGGAAAGAAAATATTATAGAAGCTTGGTTAGACCATGTCAAAGAAATTATATGCAATGGAAACGAAAAGGTTTATGAGTATATCTTATGTTGGTTTGCAAACATCTTACAACATCCAAGTGCTAAAAATGAAACTGCTCTCATTATAATTGGAAAACAAGGAACTGGTAAGAACACATTCTTTACAGATATTTTGTGCAAACTGTTAGAGGGCTATTCGAACCCTAATATGACAAACTTAGAAAACATCTGCGGTAAATTTAACTCCTCAATAGAGAATATGAAACTTATAGTTTGCAATGAACTTCAAAGTATAGATACAACAAAAGTTTTGAACTCAGATGCTTTGAAGAGTCTTATAACAGATAAAGTTGGAGTTGTTGAAAGAAAGTATAAAGACCAAAGAGTTTGTGAAAATGTTGCAAACTTCATTATGGTTTCAAACAATACTGTTCCGATGAAGTTAGAAAGTTCTGACAGAAGATATGTAGTTGTCAGAACGTCAGATTCTCATATGCAAGATACAGAATATTTTGACGACTTAGCAGAAACTTTGACATCTGACTTTTACAACCACTTGTTCTCATATTTTATGACATTAGATATTTCAAAGTTCAATCCAAGACAAATTCCACATACCGAAGAGAGACAAACATTGTTAGAAGCAAACAAGAGTGTATATGAACTGTTCATAGATGAAACTGACTTTGTGTCATTAGATGAAAGGTCATTGTACGATTCGTATAAACAATATTGTCAAGAATATGGTTATATGACAGCGTCTAAACGAACATTCTTGGCAAATGTCAAAAGTCTTTTAGACGTACAGAATGGTGTATATACAAAGAAAAATTTTTCTGAGTAAATTTAAAAAAAATATTTTTTTATCCGATAGAAAAGATGACAAAATTCATCTCAGTAAACAAGTACATGTCAGGACTTAAAGAAGAACTAGACCCATTCACATATTTGAATGTTTACTTCTACCATTTTGAAAAGTCTTCATTCAGCAAAGTTTGGAACATCGAACCAGTTAAGTTTGCTATTGTGACTAAAAATGGTGCGAAATTTGAAGACTTAGACATAGAAGGTTTGTTAGCAGTCAAAGAAAATTTTGACAGAAGGTTCTCAAACCTTAAAGAAGGCAAAGCATACAAACTTGTTATACCTTATGAACCAAAGAAAGCAGACGACTATGAATATTATGAGTCTAAAGTTGTAGAAGTTCAAGGTAAATTGGGTAAAAAGATTTTAGAGTCTAAGCCAGTGTTTACTCCTAAAGAGGAAGAGAACATTGACATTGACCCTGAAATGTTCTAAAAATAAAATTTTATTTTTACATGTCAAATTTCTTTTTCTCTGGAACTGGTTCAGGTTCTTTTTTCTCTTCTTCTACTTTCTTTTCTTTCTTCTCTTCTTCTACTTTCTTTTCTTTCTTCTCTTTCTTCTTCTTCTTTTCTGGTGGAGATATGTCAAATTTCTCAGAACCATATCTATGTAAAAGTTCTTTGTCCTTTAATAGCTCATCTATTCTGTTTTCTATTTCATCTTCAAGAACAGCGCATGTGTCTTCTTTGCATTCTAAGAACTTTTGTTGGACTTCATCTTTCCAATCGGCGTCATCTCTGTCAACAAGTCTGTCATTGACAAATTTTAAGACTGCTCTTTGTAATGTTTTATGGTTCTTGTCATATTCCCAGAAACAGAACTTTAGAACAAATTCACCTTTCTTGTTTACACTATGTAAGATTTTATGGTCGACAGATGTTTTGCTGTCGAAAAGTTTGTCTCGAATATAGATAGCGAAATCGCTAGACATTTTCTAAAAGATAAAAATTTTAATTTTTCTAAAAATATGTTAGAAAAAAAGTTTGCTGACATTGACAAGAAATTTGAGAATGTTTTAAACAAGAACAAGAGGAAGTTAGAAAATGCTCAGATAAAACCTATACATGACAAGTTCTTATTTGCTCAGAATGGTATAACAGGTCTAATTGCACCACCTGGGTCGGGTAAGACTTTCACTTATCTTAAAATGGCTGCACAACAACAAGAACTAGATGAGAAGAACCCATTCTATGAGTTAGTAGTCATTTGTAGTACTTCTGGTCAATTTGACCAAACCGTCAATTCGTTCAAAGATATTATAAAGAAGTCTAAGTTAGTATGTATAAAGGATACTGAGTTGTTAGATTGGATAAAGAAGTACCAAAGAAGAGTTTTGAAGTACAATGCTATAAATGAGTATATAAATTCTAAGTTCAAAGACCCAAATGAGGAAATGCAGAGAATATTAGAGAAGAAACACTTCAGAAACAAACAGAAAGAGATAGAATACATTTCGAAGAAATTGCAATCTTACGATTGGAAGACATACCCTCATAGATGTCTTCTTATCTTAGATGACTTTGCTTCTCATCCTTTGTTAAAGAACAGAGAACAAGACATGTGTCGAATTCTTAAGAAGCTCAGACACTTTAACATCTCAGTCGTAATATGTGTACAGACAGCAAAGAGTTTAAGTAAGGATGTTAAAAGAATACTTACTGACATTATACTTTTCCCCGGATTGTCCGAAGACGATTTCATGGAACTTATGAAAGAGTCCATGGCAGGTAAGTTTGACAGACATGAACTATGGGAGAAGTACAAAGTCATACAAGACCCTCATACTTCTTTCAGAATTCATATCTACGCAAACAAAGTTCAAATTGTAAAAAGTCAAGCTTGAAAAATCTAAGTGTTTAGTCTTAGTAAGTAAGTCTGTTGTGGTTCTGCAGCTTTCGGTTCTTCTGGCTTTGGAAGGCATTCAGGAAGAGGAACGTCAGTCATCCGTTTGTGTCCTGTCGGAAGGAAAAACTTTTCCTGTCGGAAGGAAAAATTTTTTCTGTTGGAAGGAAAAACTTTTCCTGAAGTTCGACCAAAAAGTTCTCAATTTTCGAAAATTTGAATGGTTTACGGACGGACAACTGGAAAATTTTTTCTTGTCGTCGGGAAAAATTTTTTCTGTCGGAAGGAAATTTTTTTCCAGTTGTCGGGAAAATATTTTTCTGTCGGAAGGAAGGACTCGGAATGCCAGAAGGATTTGACAAGGCAATTTACTTTATAGAGCTACCTGAGCCATCTGAAGTCAAGCTTGAAAAATAAATGGTTCATCTACTCTACTTGTTTGAAGTTGTCAAAATACTCTGTTATTTTTTCCTTTAACAATGGCAAATCTTCTTTGAATGTAAGAATTGTACAACCTTTAATATCATAGTGTGTTTGAGGTAACGTATCTTGAACTCTTTGTTTCACATCTTCATTCGGTGTCATTGAAATCGGTAAGTTTTCGCGATAGAACCAATTTCTGTCAGATTTGTAAATCTTAGCAAGGTCGTAAAAGCTTTTGTTGTTTCTTCTGACTAAATGCAACATAACCATATCTTTATCTTCTTCATTTTCCATCTCTTCAGTATAAATCATATACTTATAGTTCTTTTCCTTTCCTTTTGGTACCGAACGTGGTATTCTTTTCTGAATGTTTTTGTCTTTTGCTTCAAGCTTGTTTTCCATCTCTTCACGTTCTTGTCTATGAATTTCATCTAACATCATGAAAATATAACAAGCGTAACGAGGTGAAGCCCACATTGCAACAGCATTTACAAGAAGTCTATGTACATAATATCCTTTCAAACAAGGAGCCAAATTCTTGCGATTTTCGAATGGAATCTCTTCCCTCGGTTTTCCGAGGGAAGCAATCATATGAGGAAATTCTTCTAAAAGTTCTTTTGTCTGTTGGTTTTCAAACCAATGATATGCTTGCTTTGTAGAACGAAGAGCATTCAAAATACTTTGCATTTGGTACATGTCATCTTTGACCGAACGAATGAGACGGAGTTGTTTGTTAAACTGTATGTACTCGTATTCTTCATTTATAGCTTCATGGACTATAACTGTTGTTGTGTTCTCTGATGTTGACATATCTGTCTTTACATACAAAATAAAAAAATAAATAAAAATAAAACTAACTTTATTTTTTCTATCTTAAGGAAATTCATGATTTTCATGAGTTTTAGGCGACTACGTTTTCTTACGTACTCGCTGTTCTTCACTGTTTTCATAGAGTTTTGGCGACTGGGTTTTTTTACCTACTCGCTGTTCTTCACTGTTTTCATGAGTTTTAGGCGACCCCGAAAAAAGTCGGTCTCGCTGTTCTTCACTGTTTTCATGAGTTTTAGGCGACTACGTTTTTTAACGTACTCGCTGTTCTTCACTGTTTTCGTACGGAATCTCTTCTCTCGGTTTTCCGAGGGAAGCAATCTTATGCCATTTTACTCAGATTTTTGTGCTGAATTCAGCAAAAATATATTTTAGGGTAGAAGGTTAGATCTCACCTGTTTTTTCACCTGTTTTTTCACAAGCGTTTTACATGGTAAACGTTATTTTTACATGTATTTTTCAGCAACTTCGTCAAATAATTTTATAGCTTTATCTATCTCATCTACTTCAAACGTTTCTTTACCTTTTATGGGAGCACCATATATTTTCTCAAACTTTTCAAGTAGTTCTGTTTCAGCAGCTCTCATATCATTAACAAACACAACCTTGACTCTATTGACTGTACTGTCATATCTTTGAGTTATATTATATGTTCTTCCTATCTTATATCTCTTTGTATTGAAGTCCTTCGGTTTCTGAACGATGTAAAGTAAGCCTTCACTGCAACGTTCCGTATCGAATGAACCATATGTTATGAAGTTATATCCAACAACTGGGTCTAACCATAACAAAACTATTGGTATAAGACTTTTGTCAATGAGATATGCTGCAGTTCCATAGAATTTTACCGATATCATAAGCTCAGGATTTCTTGTCAAAATTTTCTGAGTAGAAGCAATTCTAACCCAGTCCTTCGGTTTCTTTCCAGATGGAGATATAATGTCTGACAAAGAATATTTGTTGTATTTCTTTGAGTATCTTACGTTTAAATCACCTATTCTAACCAATTTAGTGTTATTGTCTATCTTTTTAACTGTTTCAAACTCAGTGTTTGTCATATATGTTCTTACATACAAAATAAAAAAATAAATAAAAATAAAACTAACTTTATTTTTTCTGTCTTAAGGAAACTCATGAAATTTGGTCATTTTTTAGCAAAAATAAAGTTTAGGTGAAGAGGTGAGATCTCACCTGTTTTCTCACCTGTTTTCTAACATGGTCTAAAACACACAAAACTCATGAAATTTGGTCATTTTTCAGCAAAAATAAAGTTTAGGTGAAGAGGTGAGATCTCACCCGTTTTTTCACCTGTTTTTTCACCTCAGTTATTTTATAAGCGTTTTACATGAATTGTACGATGTATATTTGAAATCCTAAACAGTTTTGTAGCTTCTATTTCTTCTGTCAGTATGTCAAAAGTTTTAACTATGCCGAAAGTCTCTTTATACTTCTTCTTGACGTCAGATAGAAGGAAATCTTCTGCTGTTGGATAGTTTTTGTTCAGAAATGCTAACATGTCCATTTTATCTTCTGCTGGTTTTTCTGCTTCTTTCTTTAAGTCTGCATAGTCGTTTCTCATACGTTCTATCTCTTTGACGGAGTAGTTATATTTTCTTATTGCTGCTTTACATTTAGAACATTGCGGGTTCATTTTTGCGTTATATTCTGAAACCTTACCTGCTAAAACAACTAAGGCGTCAATTGCTCTCTTCATCTCAAACATAGCGGGTTTTATCTGTTCATTCCATACCTTACCTCTTCTATCTTTATCTCTTATCTGCCATACACATTCAGCAACTAACGAAACAAAGTTGTCGTAGGTCTTAAATTCTTCAGATTTATATATGTCAGAAACATTCTTATATAACATGTCGCAATCTTTGTCCATAACCTTATGGTTGCAATGAAATCCTAGAAACTCATAGTTTACCTTTCGTATGAACTTCTTTATTTCTACTGAGTCAGTTGCTTTGACTTCTATTTCATCGAATTCAGGAATAGTGAGTTTTTGTTGCTGAATTTCAGGCAATTTGGGTAAATGGTCAATAATGTCCTGCATTTCATAAAGATACTGTTCATTTGTTTCATCTTTCGCACTACAGTCTAAATTACTTGTTAAAAGTTCTTGCTTTATCTTCTGGATTTTTGTTTCAAAAGTATATGAAGAAGGAATGAAGCTTTTCATTTCTACTAACATAGATGTTGGATTCATAACTAACGAGTTTGGTGCTGTTGTTGTTTGAATTGTTGTTGTGCCGATTGTTGAAATCATATCTTTACATACAAAATAAAAAAAATAAAAAAATAAAACTAACTTTATTTTTTATTTTGGGAAAATTCATGAAAATTCAAGAGGTTAGAAAAGAGGTTAGAAAACAGGTTAGATCTAACCTTCTACCCTAAACATTATTTTTGTCTGATTTACACTCATTACGAAGAAGTCTTGACAAAACATTTACGTTCATGTTTGACAAAACATTTACGAAGAAGTCATGAAAATTCAAGAGGTTAGAAAACAGGTTAGAAAACAGGTTAGATCTAACCTTCTACCCTAAATTATATTTTTGGGTCCTTTACACTCATTACGAAGAAGTCTTGACAAAACATTTACGAAGAAGTCATGAAAATTCAAGAGGTTAGAAAACAGGTTAGAAAACAGGTTAGAAAACAGGTTAGATCTAACCTTCTACCCTAAAATATATTTTTGGTGTAAATTTCATGATTTTCGAGAGTTTTAGACCATGTTAGAAAACAGGTTAGAAAAGAGGTTAGATCTAACATTCTAACATAAACTTTATTTTTGCTGAATTCAGCAACAAAATGAACGAGGTCAGGATGTATGCAAATACCTTTGAATTCATTCATAACACCCTTTGTAAGCTCATAAAATGCTTGTTTTGAGGTCGAGCCACTTTTTGGCTCCACCGTATTCTTTCAACCAAAACTCAAGAATTTCCCGCATGAATTTTATATAAAAATAACTTTATTTTTTATTTCGGGAAAATTCATGAAAATTCATGAGGTTAGAAAAGAGGTGAGAAAACAGGTTAGATCTAACCTTCTACCCTAAACATTATTTTTCAATACTTTTTCAGCACTTTTCCGTAGTTATATATGAAAGACAATTCGAGATAAAAGTCATAGTACAATGGAATAATATGTTGCACACCATTTGTTGTGAACCAAACTTGAAAGTCAGAGAAACTGTTACTAGGTGGTTCGTAGAATTTAGAAGCAAAGTCATAAAAGTCCTTACCAATACATAGAAAACTATTGTTGCTTGAACTGAAACTTGCATGACACATAACATTTTGAGGGTCAAACACGTTTCTATAAACTGTCAAATCTGCTGGTGGAAGTATAAATTGAAATGGACCATCTGGTGGTAATGGTTCGTTCTGGTTTAGTAACCGAAGAAATTGTGCCCAAGAACGTTTGTCTACTTTCCAATATAAAAACTCTGTATCTCTTGGAGGGTTAATTTCAATCTTTTGAAATGAAACGGTGGAGTTCATCTTGTCATATTCTAGTTTCAGATAGTATGTTCCATTTAGTAAAGAGTCGTATTTTCTTGAAATTCCCAATAATATTTGTTCATTTGAGTTTGAAAGTCATTTAGAGTTTTCTCAAGACTTTCG